ACGAGGGTTTCGACAAAGGACGGAAATTCTGTTGACGTGCTATAGAAAAGCAAATATATGTTGCAACAACCAGCCTAAAGTTTTACAGAAAAAAGCGTCCGCTGTTAGAAAATAGCAAGTAGCAAATAAAACGGGTATAAGGAACTAGTATCGAGATTCGTTTGGCCATCTCATCTGCCGTCTGCTTAGTTCTTGAAATCCCTGAAACAAGCAATGGACTGTTCCAAAATCAAAGTAGGACGGGTTCATTACATAAAATCAGCGGGGTGAGCGGTTAGCTCGTATGTCACAGTATCAGATATAATCTTTATCACTGGCCATTAACCTGGGCGATGTAATTAAACTAATAAGACAAAGCGCTTAAGGTATCTATAACATAATACCTGTTTATAATTAGAGACAGGTGTTTAATTCATATCCCCCTCTTCAAACAACAATAAAAACAGAAACCCCGGGAGTTAGTAGAGATAATGGTACAATCTACATGATAGACTATATAGGTAAGCTGTACAAGAAAGAAGGGAAAAAAACGCCTGTTCTTTTCTGTTTCATCGCTATTTACTTAAGATTTTTTACATGACCTGATTAAAAAACCTATCCGAATGTCGGTTGAACCTATCCAGGAAGTTTACGGAAGGCCGGTTGAACCTATCTGCGAAATTCACGGAAGATCGGTTTTGTTTTTTGCTTGAGAGCCATTTCATGTTAGAAATAGTCTAAAGAAGTGACTCTTCCCCTGCCCCCCCCCCCCCCCCCCCCCCGGTGCAGGAGTGTCGGTCCGTGATTAGTCGCCGGTAGAAACCGGCGACTATATTTGTAATAGTTTAATATTATACCTATGGTAGGAGAAGCCCTTAAAATCTGAAAATAAAAGCATATCAAACATTGAACAGTTAAAGACAACAATTATTTTTCAGTAATCACAAAAAATCAAACATATGATAACTTTGTTCAGTGGAATGAAATATGCACATATTGACGTCTTAAAAAAACAACATTACAATTTTCATGAAATGAATCAATAACGTATCCCCAATGATCAGTCATTGAATATTAGAGATACTTTTACTTTTTTCTGTGTGTCAAGCATTGCTATTTTACAATATATAAATCATGAATAATATTTGAAATGACACTTTAGAATTATTTGGTTGTTTATTTTTTATGAGACCTTTTATATTACATTATTTTATCTAATTATAAACAAATGCTCCCTGGTCTTTCGTAAGAATCACGTGACTACATGTTTATATATGTTGTATATCGTTACAAGGTTAGCTTTTAAAAAAGCTAGTAGCGACTCGCTTCGTAATTTTTTTTCCAGGGGTGCGTTTAAATGTAAAAATGACAGTTCTGTTAGCTGAAGAGACTTCAGCGAACATCAAAATAAAAGTGACATAAAGTTATGGAAGCCAGTTTCACTCAGTTTAACAAAGAGGAATATGAGTATATATGAAGATGCATGTAAACAGATAGAATGAAGTCCCTATGTCTATGCACATTTACTATATGGCCTTTTGACCTTGACCAAATAAATGTTAGATAGGTAGAATTCATAAAGATGTCTCTTTATACGAAGTTAAGTTGTAATATAATATTTAGTATTGGAATGAGTGACAGACACAAGTCCTAAAGTAAACACAAGTTGTCAAATAATTCAGCCAGAAAAAGCCGGGATCCTATTAAAAATATAGGGATCCGGGAATTAACCAGTCTTAGATGCTTTTCAGATAAGCAAGGATCCTATTAAAACATATAGGGAATCCGGGAATTGACCAGTTCAAGAATATAGTTTTCAGAAAAGCCGGGATCGTATTAAAGTATAAAGAGATCCAAGGAATTGGCCAGTTCAAGAATATAGTTTTCAGAAAAGCTGGGATCGCATTAAAACATAAAGGGATCCCGGGATTTGACCAATTCAAGAATGTAGTCTTTGATTTTTCCAATTAATTAGGCATATAAGTATAGTGATTTTTAAGTTTGTTGATAAATAGCTCTAAATATATTTATATCCAAAGTTTAATTAATTTAACGTTCATTACATACAATAAAAAAACTTAACGTTTAATGGCCTTTCATTACGACAATAATCAACACAAATATAGTTTATAAGTTTTTCCTCTATATCTTATACGATCCCGGATCCGGCCAGTCCGGGCGTCCCGGATCCCGGCCAGTAAATATATACACTAAATACCGGAAAGGATAAAATGACCGGAAAAAAAGGAAAAAGAAAAAATGCACAGAACCAGGTGTACACTTATGTTAATTAACCAAACGAAAACTTACTACAGAGGAACAGGTGAAATCGCTAAATCAAAAGTCAGTGTTAATATGATTTATTGAAAAGAATTCATGAAAACAAACATTTTTAATCGTCATAATATCTTTGCGCTCAAAACAATACTTGCTGCTTTTTAAATATGGCGTGAAAATTGAAGGTTTTTTGACGCTATGTAAGATTAAATTTGATTGGCTAAATAATTTTGGATCCTAGCCCTGATAGATGAATTTTTATAGAAAGCTGGAAGCCAAGCTTCGATTAAATTTTTGGATGTATTCGGACTTTTAGGTTGTTTCTCAGTAAAATCCTAACGTAATACCGGCTCGCCGTGGCGAGCCGGCAATAAAATCTATTAATAGTTACAGATTGCTGATAAGACAGGTAATTTGTTAATGGTGGTAACTGATATATAAGATGTAAATCATTGTAATTTTGTACAGATAATTACATAAGTTATTTTTCATTAATCAGGTTCATACTTTATATCATTAGAGAAACCTGTTTACATTAAAAATACATTTTCAAAACCTTTTCCTTTCTTCTTAGTAAAGGGTTTAAATTGGCCCTTTCTGTCAAACATTCGACAAGAAAGTTCAATTGTTTAGTTTAGGTTGAACATCCCAAAATAATGTTATGCTTAAGAGGCACATTATTGAAATATATAATGGTAATCGTTGATTTCGGTATATTCCGTCGGTTTCCACCACGCAGGTTTCCAAAACGGTATGACGTCAGGGGTCCGGAATCGTAGTATATTAGATACATAGAAAAAAATAATAAACTATCTTTGTGTTGATAGTTTATCGCACTGAAAGGCAATTAAACGTTAATTTTATATATATCGTATGTAACGATTGGAATACGTGTATTGATTTCAGCTAAATTATATATTTTTCTATAGCACATAATAATGATGTACAACACTTTTACAATAAAATTGTATTGTTTCATGTAATAATTAAACATATTTATTTTCATCGTCACTTTGCAAATATTCGATGATCGGTAATTATTTGTCGGTAATTATCTGAATCTGAACTAGTAACCTATACGGATTTCAATGTATGGTACAACAGTATATGTATAAAGTAAAATAACAAGAAGAATTACCAGCATAGCACTTGCCTTACAAGCCTCAGTGGCAAACATTACTCAACTCATTGTTCCTCTTATTTTTATACTTGAACCATTAAACTTATATTTTCTTATATTTATGATAATACAATCATTTTTCTATCCGGCGAGTTGATGCTTTAGCATCAAAATCTCTACTTGTCATTACAGTGTGAGTAAATGTGAGAAGTGTAATATCTAAAACTTCTGAGTATTGTAATAATTGTAGGAGTGAACTCTTGTTAGATTTTCCATTTGTAACAGAAATATGCTGTTATCTTCATGGCTACGGAAGAATTCTAACACTGGCTATCTAAGTGTTCCCCTTTGACCTATTGTAAATATAGCTGACCGGGATAGTATTTTCATTATGATTATAAGGCATAAAGCTGTGTAATCGATTCTATCATCCTATGATCCTCTCTTGTTCGGACGAAATGTTTACTAAACTATCAAAGTAGTCGATCAGTGTCGCTGTAAAGTTGTTTTAATTTTTTTGCTTTTTTGTTTTGTTTTGTTTTTCTTTTTGCTTCTAGATTATGTATAGAAATAAATACAATTCGTTAAAATCAGTCAAAGAATGGTAATTTTATTAAGTAAAAATGTATATACTGTACATATATTCAGGGCTTCCATAAGTGAAAGTTTGGGAGTCATTTACTCCTGAATTTAGCTTGTGACTTCGAGAATATAATGCTTTTCCTTCACCTGTACATAACGTGACTTTCCATGTTAGACATTTTGCAGTCTCTGACTTCCAAATTTTGGAACTTGATGTCAGCCCTGATAATGCTACAATAGCAAACATGATTTCAAAACATGACTTTCATTGACGTTCGGTGTTTAAACTCTTCTCGTACCATCTGAGGAATTAGTGACAAATCTGAAGCATGTGTTGCTAAATAGTTAAAATCATCTACACCCACACTGCTTTGTACACCGCCAAGAACTACGAAGACGCTACAATCGGACCGTCCTCGGCTACTATCAGAAGACCAAAAGTTGCTATTGAAGACGCTTTTCAGCTATCGAGGTCATGCCTAAAAATGAACCTTTGTCAAACAGACTGAAATGTAATTGCGTGATATGAACAAATCAGTTACACAGCAGTGTTCATCTTAAAAAAAACACTTGAGAGAAATGTTTTTACCATACAGTATATAGTGATTAATTAAGATGAATATTTTGTTTACATAATCGACCTGAATTTATTTCCCCGGATGGTTTTTACGCTTCAGTGTCATTATTTATTGATCGACAGATATCAAATTCATCAATCACGAAGTGAGAGAAAAAATAATCAGATCGATCTTTTCTTTTATGTAGGATTAACGCTTGACCTAACGCACGGCTTTAATTATGGTAATTCCGTCTATTAATAAATCGTATATATTCGGTAAACTTTGCCATTTTCCGTATTGTAACAGTTACAGATATTCTGCAAGGTCACAGATATACGGAAAGTTGCGAAATTTGCCGAATCTTAAATTTATTCGGAAAGCGGCGAAATGATTTTTGACTTAAAATATTCGTGGTCATATATTCTCTTCAAAATCAGCGTAAATACACGGAAAGTGGCGGAAATCCCGACGACTATTCGTTCATAATGGAGATATTACCTTAACGGCGGTTTATACGCACGACTATACAATATGGTACATTGGGTATTACGACAGTATCTAGTGTTTGTCCAATATCGACCTTAAAGTTTGTAATGTTGTACTATATTGTTGTTATAAACATTACCGATAGAGAGCGTTTACTATAAACGTAGAAATATTTAAATCCAGTTGAGATAAACAATCCGGTGATATAAACGTTACAGAAATATTTCGGGGACATTTTTCGGCCTTTTCGATAATAAAAATTACGCGACACTATAACGCGTAGTAAAATAAGGAGCTATTTTTTGTAGTAAGTTTCGATTTCGGAAAAAATCAAGAGAGGGAGAGGAGTTACTTGACGCGTAAAGATAACATGATAAAAGATGGGGTGAATCGGTAAGTACACCTTGAATTTATTGATTTTTTATTTTAATTAGTTGAAAACGTCATATCTCACGTTAAGGCATATATTTGCATTTCACATAAACCATACAAAAATCTACTTATTACAATGCATGCAAAAAATAAGGATGTTTTTGTATAAATAATATATTCACATATCATAAATATGTAAAAATGGGCGTTATTATCTTTTTAGCCCACATATTTTTTCCAACTTAATTTTTCTAAAAAATAAGCAAACAAATGATATTGAAACGACAACTAATAGTTTAGACAAGTTATATATACCAATTAAAGGTAAATATATCAAATGTTTGTTTAAGAACGAAAAGAAATCAAATATGCATTATCTGGTTTAAACGAGATTTTGAAGAGAAAAAAAATGGATAGAGAATGTAAAATGAATAAATGTTATATGTACTGACAAGAAACAAATATATGTCCAAAGTTTGGATACATTAACATTTTTTTGGAAAGAATTCATTTTCATTAACTGCACGTGTCGGAACGTTGTCATTTGAAATTATTTGCACTTTTTATTCACTAGCTTAATTCAAGACAAAAATATGCTTCGCTACAAGGTGGTCCGTCTTTTTATGGTCGAGACGAAGATGACATAGAAATTATTCGATAATTATATGTTTTCATCTTTATCATAAATTTTATGATCGTTACAAAATCAAATTTGCTCACACCTTCTTTAATGATAGGTCTCACACCACTAAAAGGCTGCGACATAAATAACCTGTCTTATTAAATTCTGATTGAAAACTGTAGTATCAATTTAAAAAGCTTTAAATGCCTTTATTTACATTCCAAAACCCCTGGTCGCTTAAAGTAAATAAGATCAAGGCGGTTTTATTCAAAAGTTTGAGTGCGTTTAAAATTGTGTGACAGATTTTAGTATTCAAATGAAGTTTTTAAGGTATGAAGTAAAATATGAACCAGTGTTTAAAGTATTTTAAACGACCCAATTTTGTTACAGAAATGTGCATCGGTGCATAAATGATACGAAAATACAAATATTTTCTTCGGTGAAATGTTATTTATCAAAAATAATTATGTCAGTAAAAAGATACTATATACATCATAAAAAGTTCCCCTATTTTAATGTCAATCTAGTTTTGCATAATTTTCTACTTGACACTTATTTATTTCATTTTTTTCTTCTTCTGAACTCTTTATATAAAAAAGGTTTACAAAACAACATAGAAAGTAGAGCGTATGAATATAGGAGAAAAATATGTAAATTAAGATTTCGTATTTTAACTCGAACGAGGAAGATTTATGCTGAAGTAAATTTAAATTAATTTTTTTTTATAACATCTGTTTGTCGTCATCACGGTGTTTTTTTAGCCACGTCACAGTGAAATGAACTATTTTAGACTATAATAGTAATAATTATAATAATCCTTTCTATGAATTGTTAGAAACCTTTATACGTATTCTATTTCGATTTTTAAGCGTATAAATATTACAGTAAATAAGGAAACAACAACAACAACCAAAACAACCAAAACACAAAATAAAACAAAGAAAAAATGCAGGATTCTTTGTTATAGGATGGGTAAGTCCCAACCATTAAGTTGAATCCTGGCCACTCGAAAGTGATTGAAATAGGTCAAATTTTCTTTACAACAGAGCTAAAAGAATTACATGTATAGAGCCCCCCGATGTAATTTGATAGTACTTCACACCATGTTCGCCTGGAATTAGTTTTAGAAAATTTTATATAGGCAAACATTGCGTAATGTTTCCCCTTAGTCGGAGTATGTTATCTGATTTGATATTTCCCCCTCTGTGATTCAAACTCTGATATCATTCTTGCAGGCAGAATATTTTCGTAGAGGTACAGGACGAGGAGAAAAATGGAATAAGCTTTTTCAGTGTAAATTTCTGGATCAGAGAATAACTGGCAGACGATAACTTACGAGGTGCTGCGAATGAAAGCTAAATGCATGAATGCGCGCGGATGCATGTTCACACTCAGAATATATTGTGCTTAGAACTTTGATGTATAGGAAACAAGAAACGCTCCATCTGTAACAGGCGATAATTTTACATAGAAACTTTATCGTCTGCAAAACAAGACGAATGTCTAAAAAGCGTGCATTTCCGTTGGCGTTTTTGGGATTTATAAGCAATTTTTGTTCTCATAGATTATGACTTTATTGATTATGGAATATTGTAATGTAAGAAAGGAATGAAATAAGAACGATGTTCATTTTGTTAAACTAGAGTTTGTGATAGGGGAAGAGTTATTTATTCACAGGTACAGAGGAGTGATATTTGTGTTATATTTACCAGCACAGAAAGGTGGAATTTCAATCACTGAGGAAAGAGGGATTTTCTCTTGGATTTATTACGCGTTCGCAATTCATATCTTTATTAGTTTTGCCTGTTATACAAATTTGCGGAGAAATTATCTCCGATTTACAAGCAAAGCTTTTTATTAGAAACGAGGGGGCTACAAATTATTCTGCTGGATTGCTAAAACAAAATTGAAAACGCAGACGATGTGAGATTTTAGAGTGTAACAAAATGCGATTGGATATTTAATTATTTTTGGATAACTCATCAGTTTCATTATCGAAATTGAAGTTACCTTGGATATAAGATTGTGATTCATGCAGTAAAGGTCAAGGTCACAGAATGAAGCAGACGTCAACTTACTTAGCTTCCCGTCAGTTCCACAGATGGCTCATACCCGAGAAAACCGTGATGGGAATATTTTCCCTCGCAATCATCCTGATATTTGCCGGAGCTGTCCTCCTGGCGGTCTCTAGCGTGGCTTCACGGTATGTATTCATAAATGTATCATTTGCATAAAGTTACATACATTGTCATAAAGAGTTGACCAACAATTCATTACATCATTAGCAAGTAACCAAGCAGCCTAAACGGTTTTTTTCTAGTTTACAAATAAGTCACGTGATATTTTATATGTTGTAGATTAACATAATTATATCTTTAAGAAAATTGTTAATTAAATATTATGTAATCCGCATATTTGTTTATCAAAATAAGAAAGAGGCCCAATTTTAATCTAATTACACGATCTAAGTTCATAGATATTTCATTCATATGCTATTTTAACCTTTAACCTTGTCAAGAAACCTCTTCCACACGCATACACACAAACACATTCACACTAAGTAAAAACAAACCAAATAACAATGCATAAGATAAAATTCATTGACTTTTTGGCACCAGCATCTTCTGCTTTGCCAACATATGATCCGTTTTAGCTTTGTATTATCTGAGACTATATTACAAACCACGAATACGAAAAATACTTTTCGTTGTCGTCTTCGAGCGACCTTCTTTATTTGGTAACATAACATAATACGTACAATGCTCGTAACTTACAGGTATTATTTGCACAATCTGACAATGCATATCATCCCCTTTCCCATGCTATATAGCTCTTAAATTATCTAACACGAATCTTTCCTCTATAATCTATTTTATCATCGCGAGAAGATTGTCACTTTTTCCCATCTAAGCCCGATTACGACATTGGAATGTAAACTGAACCCATTTTTTTACTGAACATTTTCTCAATGAACCCAGGGACTTTTTTGGGTAACAGATTGCAGTAATTGAGGCTTAACATTGCTTAAGGGCACAATAGCCCACGGATGGGCTGTGACACGATAAATTACGCTCTACGTAACATCACAGTAGGTTTTTAACGTCTTCGCTCGGATTTTTTTATATTTTTACTTTCATCTTGAAAGTTTTGCCCTTAGCTTCAGAGATAATGATGTATATCTATGATAATATACATACACAATTTGTTATAGTTATTTTACTACACACTCTATTAATTTTTTTGGGTTTGTATAATCATTTAGAGACGATGTGCGAAATGAGGCTTGACTATGATGTGTATATACCATGCTTTAAAAAAGATAATAAATAAGATACGGATCATAGAGACAGAAATGTTTTTAATGACTGTCATACGTTTAATAACGTTTTTATACATTCTGAAAAAAAAACTGAAGTTTATAATATAACTCTGGCGATGAAAATGATTTCACCTTGAACTAGACTTAAGGTTGAAAAAAATTAACATAGTTGTTTGAATGAACATTTTTACTGGTTATGATTGATTGAATGATTGATTGATTGATTGATTGATTAATTGATTAATTGATTGATTAAAGACACGATGTTTCAAGTAAAATTCATGCTGTGGTAATATTTATTCATATTTTCTTACATCCAAATGTTTTGTAATATAAATGTTTATATTTTTCATTTCTTTTCAATATATTCATAATCAAAACCTAGTTGTTAAGGGGGCATTAAACCTCATAAATAAATATATTGCCCTTCTGTGAAAAGGCAAACATATGCTTTATCATTTATAATAGATTAAGAACATGTGAAATGCTTAAAACATAATACTGACTGCGATATGATATGTGATAAAGATAGTGAAATAAAAACAAGTCTTTTGACTTCCATACAAATCCATCTAAATCACCAGTGACTCTCGTTTCAATAGCAAAACTTCGAAGAAAACTGCAAATGTAAAAGCTGATTTTTTTTCTCCACCGACCTTGATTTGATCAGGTTCACTTGTGTTCTGTGGTAGGCAATTACAACTTTCACGTGTCCCTCAATAAACGGTAATTATATGGAACAAATTGAAAACACGTGGTTCAGGCGAACCGAATTCCAAAGAGCGAGAGAGAGAAACGCTATTATAGCAATTGTTATGCATATTTGCTTCAACAAAACGAATATCCTAGGATAAAGTGATGCAGTTTAACGGCTATTAAACGCTCACTTAATATGTGAATGTTTTCTCTTTCTCGCCTGCAGTGCTTTTTTTTTAATTGAACATATGTATACAAGTATGGTGTACTGTTCGCTCCATTTGACTATTTAAAATTGGCCGGGAAAAAAATGGGTACTAATCTTAAAGGCCCAATTTATGTCC